TGGAATCAGCAACTTAAGCAATCTGTCACTTGCCCAGATAGTCACAGTCTGCTGAGTAGTAGCCAGTTACATATGGGGCTCAGTTCCAATGTTAGAGACAAACACCAAGTTTCTATGTGCGCTCAGCATAACTGGGGACAGAGAAACCTTTTCCACCCCTTTCTGGTTAGCTTGTCTAAATATTGCCCACACTTGGAGTAAAATCAAAATATAATATCTGCAGTCCAAGTCTTTAATACCCCATCCATCTACTCACCCTGCAAGATATTCCTTTTAAGGACTTCTTGCATTATGCTAAAAAAAAAAAAAAAAAAAACTAATTGGGGGAGGAGGTGTAAAACAGAATGTAACATTGGATTTCCCCCATTGCGGTTCTCTGGGTAGTCCCAAGAGGGATCCTAAAGCCATGAGTTAGTATCCTGAGATCACAGGATGTTGCCCTATGGAATAATGGGTTCATGGAAATTTCTCTATGGAATAATGGATTCAGAATGTCTCTATTTGAATGAATATATTCATTCCTTCATTCAAATAGAGAAATACCAATGGTATTTTAAATTAAATAAATTTTATGCAGTGATGGTTTTAAAAGTTAACCTCAAGAAATTGAAACAGCCTTTTCTCTAAGATCCTGATGGCCCTGACCTTATTGGCTCTTTCCTCGGGCATTAGGGCCAGAGCATTACTGGAGCCCAACACAAATTGGTTTAATAAATAAATAATAAATAAGCATGTGAGTTGTTTTGAGGCTCCTTGGGTGTAATGTTATGATTATTCCTACTTGTATTCTGTATTGTTTTATATTGGGTTTTTTTTAATTAGCATGTTTTTTATGTATTATTTGTTAGCCACCCACAGTTACTTGTTTAAGATGAGTAGTCATATAAGTCTTCTAAATAAATAAATAAATCATATGCTGCTTTAATGAATAGCAGAGAGATGTGCTCACACAAGGTCCCAAACACTAATTCTGAATCATTTTTGAAGCATATACCAACTGCTAGTGCATACTGTGAGGTTTCTATGTAGCAGGCTAGACTGAAACTAATTAAACAGGCACACATGAATATAAAAATGTTTGATCAGAAGTTTCATTGTAGAAAAGAAAAGAAGCCATTGCAGAACTGTTCCAGCATCTCCTGTGTATCAGAAGGAAGTCTTATTTATTTCTTGCATCTCTTTCTCCCACCCACTCTGCTTAAAAGACTAGGAGCAAATCTCTCTGGGGCAGAAGATGTGTTTCCATCTCTTCATTGTTTTAGTACCAAAAACTAGAATTAGATAAGCTGGGTAGAACTTTAAAAATGTAATGGGAGTTTGGCATGCCAAGTTTGAAACATGATGCCTTTCAACTAAGACAATATGATTAGGAACTCAGATAATGATCCTTGGTACAAATTGAGTTAGTGTTAGACTATCAGTTAGAACAATACCATTCCTTCCTGATGGACTAACAAATACAAATCCATATTTAATCCATATTTAAATCTCTCTTCAGAGATTTAGTAGAAACATGACCATTCACTTCATGGATGAGGATAAATTTGTTCAATACAAAGAATGGGAAGATCAGAGAATTTTAGCGTATTAGAGATCTAACCAAAAATGTTAGTTTGACTTTTTGGAAATGGAATGGGCACAAGTACTAATCTTTTCAGATGTTAAGTAAAATTATAAAATAGATAGGTTGTATCAGTCAAGACCATTCACAAAATCTGATGAAACACACACACACACACACACACACACACACTTAAGAGCCAGGGAATCTCATCAATATTAATGGTGACTTCATTTTTATTAATTGCTGGGTTTGTTATTACAAAGCCCTGTAAAACCAATGTACTATGCATCTTAAGCAGCTTAGTGATATTTGAAAGTGTAGGAAATTGTTTACTGAAAAATTATGCAATTACAAGGAACTTTGAAAATTTCTATACTGAAGAACAACTTCAATAATATTTGGTTACTATTTGTTAGCTACATTAATAATATTTTTCTAAGAGATCACTCTTGTCTTTGTATGTGTTGGTTTGGAATAGAAATATTGAATATGAATTCTTAAAATGTTTGTATCTCTCTTCAAGGTTCTCCTCCCTCTTCAAGGTGCATTCACTCCCAGTTAATATACATACTAATTGCAGATACTTGTTTGTACAGTACATGCTGTATATGTAACACACTGTTTGTTTTGGGATAAGCAATGGTACGCAGAGCACAGAAAAGAAATCAGAATTAGTAAGCCAAAGAAATTAAAGGCAGGAAATAAGAGAAAAGCTAAAATATAGCTAAATTTTGTTTTTGCTCAGCTGTAAACCATAGCTAAGATTATCTTCATTGGATTGATTGCAGATGTTATTACATACTGTTTTTGTGCCACTGGAATAAAATCTGCCTATCTATCATCTAGTTTACATCAATAGCATTCATTATATTTCTCTTACCTATTCTTGTTGCAAGCCATCCTTGATTCCACCACATCCATCCACTGTTTCATACATTCTGTTCTGTTCTTTAAACTTCCCACTTCTCTGTTCTTAGGATCTCATCAGCTCCAACTAATCACAGCTTTTTAGTCTTCTCCTTTCTCTCAACCCATTCACTCTTCCATCATATGTTTGTTTTGCAGTTTGGTCCTGATTTATTCTCTCTAAAAACCATCTCAACTTCTTTTATACCGGCCACACACTTTTGTATTACACTCATTCTTGACCTTGTTTGTTTATTTATTTATTTATTATTAAATTTGTATGCTGCCCATCTCCTCCCAACGGGTGACTCTGGGCAGCTCACAGTTAAAATCAAAACCCCCATCAACAATTCAAAATACCCCATAAATAATTAAAATAAATTAATCCATTAAAAATCAAGTATAAAAAACAAA